GATCCCAGGCGTTGGGTTGCAACGGGCCGACCCAGAGAGCGACCCAGTGAGCGACCGGCAACCCAGCAAGGGCGCAGGGCAGCAGGTTGACTGCGGTCGTGCATTCCTGCACAGATAGACCTGCGAGGGAGTGGGCAGTGAAACAACGAGCAGGCCGCAGTGGTGTGAGGCAGCAGAGGGGGCCGCCACTTCCCAGCTCTGATCCTGCCCCCACACACAGCGTCAAAACCCAGCGACCTGTGCAGCCCCGCCCTGGTGAACATCTAAGGCTCCGCTCCTCATACTTAACAGGCTCAAACAAACCAAAAATGACTCAAGAAGATCTCAAAGCCCCAGAGCCCATAACTCTAAGTGACGAAGAAATAGCAAAACTTTCAAATGCACAGTTCAAAACACTGGTGATCAGGATGCTCACAGAACTGGTTGATTTTAGTCACAAATTAGAGGAACACATGAAGGCTAAACTAATTGAAATGAAGGGAAATGCACAGGAAACCAATAGTGATGAAAAGGAAACTGGGACTCAAATCAAGGGAGTGGACCAGAAAGAGGAAAAAAATGACCAAACAGAAAAGGATGAAGGAACAAGAATTCAAAAAAATGAGGAGAGACTTAGGAACCTCCAGGACATCTTTAAACGCTTCAACATCCGAATTATAGGGGTACCAGAAGGGGGAAAGGAACAGCCACCAGTGGAAAACTTATTTGAACAAATAATAAAGGAGAATCTCCCCAATCTGACAAAGGCAATAGACTTCCAGGAAATCCAGGAAGCTCAGAGAGTCCCAAAGAAGTTGGACCCAAGGAGGAACACACCAAGGCACACCATCATTACATTAGCCAAGATTAAAATGAAGGAGAGAATCCTAGAAGCAGCAAGAGCTAAGGGGACAGTCACCTACAAAGAAGTTCCCATCAGACTGTCAGTGGATTTCTCAAAAGAGACCTTACAGGCAAGAAGGGGCTGGAAAGAAGTATTCCAAGTCATGAAATCCAAAGACCTACAACCAAGATTATTCTATGCAGCAAAACTTTCATTTAGAATGGAAGGACAGATAAAGTGCTTCTCAGATAAGATCAAATTCAAAGAGTTCATCATCACCAAGCCCTTATTATATGAAATGTTAAAGGGGACTTACCTAAGAAAAAGAAAATAAAAAAGATGAACAGTGAAAGGACAGCAAACTCAGTTATTAACAACCACACCTAAAACAAAAGCAAACTAAAAGGACAGCTAGATCAGGAGCAGAACTGTAGAAATGAAGATCACATGGAGGGTTAGCAACAGGGGAGTGGGAGAAGGAGAAGGGGGAAGAAGGTACAGAAAATAAGTAGCATAGATGGTAGGTAGAAAATAGATGGGGGGCAAGAATAGTATGGGAAATATAGAATCTAAAGAACTTGAGAAACATGGTCATAAACTAAAGGGGGGAATGGTGGGGTGGTACAGGGTGGAGGGGAATGAAGGGGGGAACTAGAACAACTATAATGGCATAATCAATAAAATTAAATTAAATTAAAAAACAACAACAAAACACCTTCCAGAGAAGGAAGTCTCTACTGAGCACCACACAAAAGTGAAAGACCAAGAAACAACAGTGTAATAAGCACAGTTTCAGCCCTGGCTGGTGTAGCTCAGTGGATTGAGCACAGGTCTGTGAAGCAAATGGTCGCCAGTTCAATTCCCAGTCAGGGCACATGCCTGGGTTGCAGGCCAGGTCCCCAGTAGGGGACACATAAGAGGCAACCACACATTGATGTTTATCTCTCTCTTTCTCCCTCCCTTCCCCTCTCTCTAAAAATAAATAAAATATATATCTTTTTAAAAAGCACAGTTTCAGGTTCCTCTAGGGGAAGGAAGGTTTAAAGAGCTGGAAGTGCAGTGCACTTGGGCGTGAGGAGGAGCTGGGGCAGCCTGTTTCAACCACACACACTTACGACTTCAATACAAGTAAAATGTGGCCCTGGCTGGTGTGGCTCAGTGGACTGAGTGCCGGCCTTCCAACCAAAGGTCGCCAGTTCAGTTCCCAGTCAGGGCACAGGCCTGGGTTGTAGACCAGGTCCCCAGCAGGGGGTGCAAGAGGGGCAACCACATGTTGATATTTCTCTCCTCTTCCCCTCTCAAAATGAATGAAATCTTTAATAATAATAATGATGATGATGATAATGAAAGTAAAATGTTAGTTGATTTAATTTTGTTAAAAAGGTGAGCAGCCCCAACTGGCGTGGCTCAGTGGCATGAGCATCATCCCGCAAAGTGAAAGGTCGCCAGTTCAGTTCCCAGTCAGGGCACAGGCTCGGGTTGCAGGTTCGATCCCTGGTTGGGGCGCCTGTGAGAGACAACTGACAGATATTTCTCTCTCTCACATCAATGTTCTCTCCCTCTCTTTCTCCCTCCCTTCCCCCCCTCCAAACAATAAGTAAATAAAGTCTAAAAAGGAAAGGGAGAAAAGAAAAGCAAGCGCCTGCCTGGCCGCCAGCAGGGAGCCCGGCTCATCCAAGGGAGTTCTGTGGCCCAGTCCGTTCCCTCCTGCCTCCTCGGGTCTCCAGAGACTGGGAGGGAGGGTGGAACCAACGGGAGCTCTTTCTGAACTTTCGGAGACACCCCGGCACCTGGCCTACAGGGGCAGTGCCCGTGGGGCCGCTCCTCCGGGCAGCGGCAGCACTTGCAGACACAAGGACAGTGGGAGAGCGACCAAGGCACAGAGCAGAGGTGCGGGGAAGGGCAGGGCGGGGCCAAGCCCAGAACTCAGACACCAGTCGCTGGGGAGCTCAGGCATCCTGGACTTCAAAGCAGCTGCTGCCCTGTTTGTAAACTCCCTGGGAGGGGCCATGGCGACAGCAGCGTTGCTAGGCGATGCAGACTTCCCAGGAAGACCTCTGCATGTTTACAGGGCTGGGAGGAAGTCTGGACAGGCAGGGCCTGAACAAAGAGGCCTCTGGAGTGGGGGGAGCCACCCCATCTGCCACCACCTCCGGGGCACGGAGTGAGGGTGGTACGGAAGCTCCCTGGCTGTGCCCCCTTCTGCCGTGCACCCCAGTCTTCAGGGCCTGCTCCCCAACCACACGGGAGAGGCCCCCTTGGCAGGGGACAGCTGAAGGAACCAGCAGGCAGTCTACTCCTGGGCACCCGTGCAAGGCTGGCAGTGGGGCGGAAAAGATTCTTGGCCCCACCTTCTCCAGTCCCAGCCTCTGTGGCTCCCCAGGTACCCAGCAGTTCCCCTGGGGACTCTGTTGCTTCCAGGAATATCGGGCACTGGAGCCCCACCTGGCCTCAGCATTCACACCTGGCAGAGCTGAGCAGAGACACCAGCTAGGAGACTTAACGGGGCCCCGTGTGGATGAACACAAGGCACCCAGCAGGTGTTCCAGAAAGTCCCTTGTTCATTCAAAAAACGAGTGAGCACCTACCACGTGCCCAGCTCACAGAGCCGATGGCCCACTCAGGATGATGAGAACAAAGCAGGCGCAAACGTGGCTGGAAACCGTGGTAAGGCCACGAGGACACGGGCAGGGTGTTGAGCGTGGGAGCGACAGGGAAGGCCTCTCTGAGGGGACACTGGAGTCGAGATGGAGGTGGTGGCTGGAACAGAGCTTTGCAGGCAGTGGGCGAGCACCTGAGGTGCCCAGGCTGGAAGGAGGCCAGTGTGGCTGAAGGGGCAAGGTGGGCACAGTGTGTCAGGCACCGCATCTCCCCACCAAGCCCAAAGGCACCCCCTGTGCCCTGTGAGTCCTTGGGAATATGCAAGTTCAAAGTGGAGCAGGAACTCCAGCTTCTGGGGGCAGCGGGGGCTGGGGGGTGACCACATACGCCCCACTGCCCCTGAAGCCCAACGCCAAGGACGACCCCTGCGGGGTCAGGGGAGCAGCCTGGCCTCGGCACAGGGAAAGCCACGCCAGACGCGCAGCCGGGAACCAGCAGTGCAGGTGCAGGAGACAGGAAGTGCAGGACCACGAGAGGGGGGTGGCAGCAAAGCGGGGGTCTTGCCTCCAAGGACCCTCCCCCCAACCCTGCTGGTCTTTTGGGCGCTGGCCAGGGCATCCCTGCCCTATGATCCCTCCTGGGGCCTCGGGCCCCTCCTCTCCCCAGTTTACCCGGAGTCCACATGGAGATTTTTGTGAACTGCAGTTCCCACTGTATCGTGTTTTTATGTATCGACAAGCAGTAAGAAAGAGCTAAATTTCTCTGTTTGCTCTGCAAGGCTGTGCGTCCGGGTCCCGCCTCCCGGTGCAGTGCCCCCTCCGGCCACCAGCCTCCGTCCCCAGACTGCTCTCCCTGGGCACACTGGGACTCCTTCCGCCCCTGCGATTTAGCCCAGAGTGGATTCTGCTCCTCGGCCTCCCCCCAACTGACACCAGGTCGTTCTAAGTCTCGGCGCCCTGCCCTCCCCAGGCCAGGACCGCTGGGCCCCGGTGAGAGTGCACACCTGTCCCCGCGGAGACGGCTCCGGTGGCACAGCTCCGGGGTGGGGGGCAGGCAGGGTGAGGGCTGGCTCCCCTCCGTGCAGTCCGGCCTGCGCTTGCAGCTCGGCCCCAGCACGGGCGATGCTTCTGTGTCACGCGCAAGCGTGGAGGCCCCCAAAAGGTGGTGGGCGCGTCGCCCCCTTGGTGGCACAGCAGAGCCTCCCCTGGGGCGGCCCCGCCGGCACTGCGCCACGGCCCCTGCCAACCCCCGACCCCTCCGTACTCAGAGTCTCTACCTACAAGTGGACAGCGTGTTCCCTGCCCACGCAGCCCTGAGACACCAGGACTGAGAGATGAGGCCGGAGAGGCCCTGCTTCCAGGCACCTGTGACGGAGCTTTGGGAGCCACAGTGCGAGGGGAGCCTGCAAGGTGAGGCTCTGGCTACACCTGTGCTGCTGCCACATGTGGACTCGGCCCTGAGTGGAAACCCTGAGGTGAGTGGAGAGGTGCGGGCGGCCTCTGGAGGAGGAAGGGGGTGGGGAGGCTGGCAGCACCCGGTCCGGCGCTCCCGACACCCCGCCTGCCCCGGTCCTCACCCTCGTAGCAGTCCCGCACGGTGCCGAAGTACACGTAGTACTGGTCGTTGGTGAAGAAGAGGAGGCTGAGCCAGGAGTCGAAGGCGTAGATGGGCACGATGAAGAGGATGCGGACGATGTAGCGCTGCTCGTTGGGGCGGCTGTAGCAGCGCAGGTGCATGTAGATCTGGGGGCGGAGGGGCCACGTCAGCGGGGACCTGGTGGCAGGGCCGCGCGCCCCCGCCCCTCCACACCCCCCAGGAGGAGCCCCGCTGAGGGTACACCTAGCTCTGCCACTTGCTAGTTCTGTGAGCTCATTACTCAACCCCGAGCCTCAGCCTCTGCTCCGGCACAATAGGACGATGACACTTCCGGTGGGAGGCCGCCGTGAGCATCAGAAAGCAGGGTGCAGACGTTTGTGGGGCTCGGGCGGTGCTGCCAAGGCCAGCCATCCAGACGCGGAGGCACGACACCACGCCCACCCAAGACCGTCCAAATCCGAGTGAGGGACAGGCCAGGGCATCCCACTGTAACAAGCCCTTGGGACCCTCAAGCACAGCCAGGTCTGTGTGGTGCGAGGAGACTCTCAGAGCATTTAGCGTCCCCACGCCCCACCCTCCCCGACTGCTGGTCCCTGGGCCGTGGCGCTGAGACAAGGGCGAGCGCCCACCCCACCACAGCCCTTAACTAACGGATGGTGTGGGGGCAGGAGAGCCGGGGGCCGCTGTGACGTCCTCACCCTGCCCTACTTCCCCAACAGGGGACAGAGCAGCGCTCCTGCCTTACTGGGCAGACGGAAAAATGAAATTTAATTTTTAGAAAGCAGGGGAATAATAAAAGCTACACACAAATGCCAAGAACTGTTCTAGCCATGATCCGCGTCCCAGCAGCCTGAGTCTCCCATCCCAGTTCTCATGACATCACACTTGGCCCAGCCAAGCCCTGGGCTCGGGAGGAAAAGAACGCAACACTCCCCGTCTGCAGTGAGCCAGCTGCCTCGGGAGCAGCTGGGCCCTAGAGGGGCAGGCGGCCCAGGGCCGTGGGTGAGGAGCTGACGGGGCACCCACACGGGCTCGGCCTCCTGTCCTCGCTGATACCCTTCCAACCTCTCCTTCCTCGGGCAGCCGGGGCATGTCTCAGCCCGTGCCAGGTGCCACTGGGCCTGCGAGCACCGGGGGACAGGAGACGTGATTTCTACCCCAGCTCTGCCCCCGACCTGTATGTGCCTGGGCTGGTCCCCTCCCCTTCTCTCTCTCTGCGTCTCAATTTTCTCATCTGCCAAAGGGTCATGGGCATCCACGTGGTCGTGCACAGGCCCCAGGCTCCCTGCAGCGCAGGCTGGTGATACTTAACCAGTTCTGACCCAGGGAAGGTGAGCAAAGTGACGAGGGTCATTTCCAGGTCGTGAAGGTAAACTATGCACAGGGCCTGCCTCACACACGCCTCCTCCTAGTGGTCAGAGGGAGGACGCCGCGAAGCTGCGAGATGCTGGGGCCCCAAAGTGGAACCGGACCTGCGCTGGGCTGGGGCGGGGCGAGGAGGAGCCAACTTCTGCAGGGGAAGCCCCGGAGACTGCCCGTTTGTTTACTGCTGCAGCCTGGCCTGCCCCAGCCCAACCGATACCCTGTTGGACTAGAAACCTCTCGGGACCCTTCTGGAGGCCTTGGGCTCAGGGACTCCTGACGGGCCGGGTACCTGGTGGCAGGTGATGAGCAGAGCCGTCCAAACGAAGAACCCGGAGATGGCCTGGGCCGCGGTGGTCATCAGGAACACAGGCTGCTCCATGGCCGTGGGGCTGCCCTCGGGGATCCCGGAGACGCCGGGCGAGGCTGCTGCGGCCGTGGGCGATGGTGGGCCCAGGGCCAGCGCGGCCCCCCTCACCGTCATGGTGCCTGGCAGCAGGGGCTCCCCGAGAGAGCCCTAGGAGCAAGCGACGAGCTGGCCTGGAGAGAGGGAACCGCAGTGTTAGCCTCCTCCCCAGGCAAGCGGCAGCGGTGGAAAAACCTCCCAGGTCTCCGCGTCCACCCTCAGAATGCGCCCCGACTCTGCCCGTGTGTCGCCCTGGCCCCAGCCTCAGCCTATCTCCCCCGAATTAAGAGAACCAGTCTCTGTGCTTCCGTCCTGGTCCCTGCTGTCCAGTCCCCCCCAGAGCAGCTGTGCGAGCTTTCTGAGATGCAGGCCAGACAGGCCCCTCCTCTGCTCGAAACTCTCCAGAAGCTCCCTGCCGGTCCCACCAGGGCCCGCAAAACTGCCCGACAGGCCCTCCGTGGCTCCGACTGCATCTGGTCTGCTACGGTCCCACCTCTACCCTTCACCCTAGCCACGCGGGCCTCCTGCTCCCAGCCGCCACAGGCCTGCACGTGCCCATCTCTGCCCAGCTGCCCAGCACTTCACAGGGCTCTCCCTGACCGGCCTGCCACACGTGGCAACCCCTCTCCGACCCCAGTGAGCACTCACACCACCTGACTCCCTGGGACAAGCACTTCCTCACGCAGCCTCTGCTAACCGCCCGCCTCCTTCCATCACACGCAGCTCCCCGAGGACAGGGCTCTGCCCTGCTCACACTGACCCCCGCCCCCCTGCACAGAGCAGCTCCGGTATGCCGCCGGTGTCAGCGAAGGCCCACCTGCCCACTCTAGCCAGACCGCTTCGTCACCCACGTCACTTCTAAGAGCTTGCGCCCTTTCTTCCCCATCTTGCCCCGGGCTCCCCAGTGGCTGGTGCCCCTCTGCACCCCAACCGCGCTGTTTTAGAGGCTCTGGGGCCCCTCCCAGCGCATGTGTCTTCACACCGCCCATCTTCTAGTCCAGCTCAGGCGTCACCCCGCACACGCGTCTGCCCTCCCGAGGCTGGCCGGCCGCTCTTTGAGGCAAGACCACACTTCCTCCTGCTTTGAATCCCAGCCCCAAGCTCAGCAGCGAGGCCATTTCCAACACTGACTTCATTATCTATCAGCTTTCACTCCCCATTTTGAAAGGAATGTGAGGTACTTCACAGAGACGCAAAGAAGAGAGCTGAAGAAGTTAACCCGCAGGAAGATCCTGGGCAGGAAAGTAAAGACAAGGTGGATGGGACAGAGGACCCTGTCCAGGGGTCTCTGCCCAGGCAGCTCTCATGTCACCTAGCACCTCCTAGTGGCACCTTTAGGACCTGGGGTAACAAATTAATGATATCCAGTTAAAAAGTAACCAGGGCCCTGGCTGGTGAGGCTCAGGGGATTGAGCACCAGCCTGCAAACCAAAGAGGCACGGGTTTGATTCCCAGTCAGGGCACCCACCCGGGTTGCCAGCCAGGCCTCCGGTAGTGGGTGCACCGAAGGGAGCCGCACATTGATGTTTCTCTCCCTCTCTCCTTCCTCCCTCCCACCGCTAAAAATAAATATAATCTTAAAAAAAAAAAAAAAGTAACCCAGATGTCGCCCAGGAAGAGCTGTTGCTAGGGTTCTCCGTCCAGGCTTACAAACAGCGTCCACGGCTAGGCTGCAGGCCGGAGCCCCCGTGAAAGTGCGGGAGGCTCCTGGGAGGGCTGACCGCTCCTGTGCTCGGGGGCCCAAGGCCTGGAATGCACCCCCTTTGGTGCTGCCACCTGTTGACAGGCTGGCAAACACCACCCCGGGGTCCCTGGATCTCCCTGCAGCCGAGGCCCTGGAAGACCAGCTCTGCTGGAATCACAGCCCCTGGGAATAACCTGCAAAGCAACCCGAGGACCACCTGACTGCTGCTGGGGTGGATACACAGCGGAGAGTGTGGCCAGGTGCAAAGAGCCTCGCTGGAGCTCCAGCCTCAGGTCCCCCACCACCCAGCCCTGTGTCCCCACACGGGGCCCTCTGGCCCCAAAGGGCCTCTGGTGCCTGACCCAGAAAATAAACGGCCAAATCCTGAAGTCCAACCGTCTCAGCCTGAAGCCCAAGGGCCATCCACACGGCCTCGCACCACGTCTGAGCCTGAGCTGACCCCCTCGGCTACGACACACGGACACCCAGGGAGGGCCCCGGGCCTCTGGGGCGCGCCTGGGCCTGCAGCCTGACCCGGCGATGCTGCCCACTGCCTCCCCACGCTCCCCAGCTTTGTCCCCAGCCCTCTCCAATGTCCCCAGAATCCTCTGCCACCATCTATGCCACGTCCGCTCTGAGCTCTAAGTTCCACCCGAAGAGAGCCCTTCACATTTCCATTTTCCTGTAAAAATAAATGATCCCTAACACACCGGCCAGAAGACGTGTCTAGATTAGAAACCAGAAATGGAGAAGAGGCCTATTTAAAGACACCCCAAATGGAGGCGTCTATATAAAGACGGGTGCAGGCTCCGACAGGCGCAGGGACGAGTCTCAGAATAGCTCCCGTGCGAAGGGCCACAGAACCGAAAGCCAGTGCCAGAAATTCTTCTTAGCAAGGAAAACTTGGGTTGTAAATCATCGTCTTTATCATCCCCAATTAAAGGAACAAACAGGGAGGATCGGAAAGGGAGGCAGGGGAAGTACGAAGACCCCTAAATCCGCGCGTCCTGAGCAGGGGCAGGGCAGGTCAGAGGCGGTGTCGTTCTAAGGGCAGAGTGGAGAGGCCCCTGGGCGGTCTCCCCAGCAGGGGCAGCTGCAGAGCCCTGGCCCTGCCCATGGGAGGAGACACCAGCGGGTTCCAGGCCGCTGCTTCCTCGGGCTCTGTCACATTCAAGTGCCTCTCTCTTAACGCCAGAGCAACAGTTAATATTCAGAGTCCTCTCACTTTCCTCATGTAGGTCGCCCGCTTCACAAGAAGAAACCCACTGGAAAAGCGGGGGTGGGGGGCGTGGTGACTGGCCCCCAAACCAGAGCTGGGATCAAGCTCAGGCCCTATAAACACAGTGTCTCCCCACCAGGCCGGGAGGGGCCACCCCTCGCTCCAGAACTTCCCACCAGAGAGGATGGTGCCGGCCCTGCCGCAGCTCAGACACAAGCAGGCGAGCCCACGTCGCTGGGAGGTTTCCGTGGCTGCCCCACGCCTGCCACGCTGTTGAGCAACGCCCTGTGGTTTACAAGTCACTTCCCCAAACATGACCTTGTTTTTTTCTCACAACTTTTAAGTAACAATTTCTCCATCTGAGAAGTGAAACAAATCACATGCAACTTGGTTGTGCAGCCCCCTGGGGTAACACCAAGTGCACAAGGGTCTTCACAGTATCCCCCCGAGTACCTGGAGCAACATTCTGACTCATGGACATGTGGCCCTTGGCACCAGGAGAGGCAGGTGCTGGCGGGACCTGGCAGGCTGCCCCCCAGCGCTCACCCCGCTCCCTGAACCTGGGGCAGCACACGGTGCTGGACCCCACAAATGGTTCACGGTGTATGTCTGCTGGGGGTGGGGGCATGGGCACTGGGGTCCCATCCTTTCATACGAGGGACAAGCACCTGCCTGGGAAAGCTCTCCTGGCTGCCCGGGTCTCTCAGGTGAGCAGAACACTGGCCTGGCACAGCCCCGACCTTGGGGAGACAGGGACAAGGCTGGCTGGTGTAGCCCCTTCACTCCCCCAGGGAAAGGGGTTCACGGAGAAGGGGAAAGGGCCTCCATGGCTCCCCTTTTTCAGTGCAGTCCATGCACCCCGATGTGGGAAGGTGGCACAGAATGAAGCTCAGAACCCCAGATGCGCTGGCAGGCCCCCCTAATCTCCTTAACTGACCAAGTGTTAAACTTCTGCATGGCAGAGAGCCCTGAGGGCGGATGCTGGAATCGCCTTTCCTGCAAACCTGTCCTGAGGCCCCTGGACACTGTGCCGGGCACTGGAAGCCCCAGGCTCGGCCTGGAGGAGCTCACAGCTCCAGCACACACTTGATCTACTCAACAGCGGCAACTGGAGGCCTAACCCCGCTGCCCAGCACGAGAGGTGAGCGCCCAGCACAAAGGGAGCTGGAGGCAGCATCCACAGCTGGGGGAGGGCCAGGGAGGGCGCCGACGTGGTGGGGACTCTGGGGCAGAGTCTTTAAGTGGCATAACCAAGCTCCAGCTTTGCAGTCACCAAGCAGGCTTCCCGCCACACTCCACCACCTGCTAGCTCAGGCAGTCGGCTTCCCTGGTCGGAGCCTCAGCTGCTTTATCTGTAATGTTTTGGGGTTCCTGCATTAGGGAGTTATTCTACTTTACATAAGTCCCCTTAAATAAAAGGAACAGAACATTAAAACAGAAGTGACCATTTGACAACTTCTAGTACAAACGACAGAGGTAGACCTGGATCACCATTGGATGACAAAACCACCGGGTAGAAGGCTGATGGGCAGCTTGCTAAGGGATGGAGCAGGCCGCACAGGTGCACGCACAGTCAAGGTCAAGGTCACAACAGAGGGGCACCGGAAGTTTCCATACGGAAGCACACGGCACCACCTAAGAAGGACCCTTTCCCAAAAAGTGAACTGCGTTTGAAACAAACCTTTAGAACGAGCCAACAGCCCCTGGGCAGCCCCAAGGGAGGCAGAACAGACTAAATGATGCCGTAAGCAGGCGGCAGCCAGATCGGGACCACAGAGCAGTCCGTCTCCAGGACAAATGATCTGGTTTTCCCAAGAAATTGGTGGCTTATCAACAAAGGTGGTTGAGGGGTTGTTACAGAAAAAGACTCAAGAGACATAACCAAATGCAACGTGTGAACCTTATTGAGCCCTGATGCTAATAAACCAATGATTAGAAGTCCAATGCGCTATCCATTGCGCCACGGAGCCACCTTAATAAACCAATGATTAAAACACATCTTAAGCCCTGGCTGGTGTGGCTCAGTGGACTGAGTGCTGGCCTGCAAAACAGAAGGTCGCCGGTTCAATTCCAAGTCATGGCACGTGCCTGGGTCTGCAGGCCTGGTCCCCGGTTGGGGAGTTTGAGAGGCAACCAATCGATATCTCTCTCCCACATCGATGTTTCTTCTCCCTCTCTTTCTCCCTCCCTTGTGATATCTCTAAAAATAAATAAGTACAATCTTTTAAAGA